GCTGCCGGCAGTGTTGCTGTTGGGTGTTAATGAGATAATTCATGCAGAGAGGTCTCTCTGGCATTTAACAAGACTTCAGAAAATGGAGGTTACACATGTCTGCGAGGTGGGTGCTCCCAATTGCATAGGAACCAGAGCCCCCAGGGGGCCAGTGACTCCTACAATGTCTCAGCCAGCAGCTAGAGAACAGTTCAAGCCCAGGTCTTCAGGCTCATTATTGCCACTGCATAGAGTTCCTGCCTCCCCCTCAGATCTGGAAACCGATGTAATTTGGCCTTAAGGCAATTCGCTTCCCTCTCCTGTCCCTCACCTACACCTCACCCCCATGCTAGTCCAGCTCCCACCAGCTTTCTCCCACTTCCCCACCCAGAGGGGTTGGCCTGGGGACCTCCAGGGGGCCAACATGTTTTTTTCTCCAAGAGCCATTCCCTCTTTTGGAGAAAATGAAGCAGTTTGAGAAAAGTAACAAAGGCGGCATTTGTGTATTTTGCTTTATGGAGCTGAAAATATCTGGTAAATTGATCCAGTGGGAGTAATAAATACACATTACTTTATCTTGTTCTTCATGTGCTATACCCCTGAGCCCTGATAGAACAACACCACTTAATAGACTTAAAAAAGAGTAATTACACTCACTGGTTGTGTGATTTTTCAGCCCTCCCAGCCCTGCCTGACCTTCTAATTTAGCTCACCGTGTCTAACTAACGCATTTATATTCATCTTTCATGAAGCATGTATGTTCAGGATTGACTTCAGAGCCTTTTTCAAGCTGTCCGCCCAGGTCTCCAATCTGGTTAGCAGTGAGGAGGAGGAGCTATCTGTCTCTCTACATGCGCTTGTATAGGTAACGTGTGTACCCGGCTACTCACAGCATTTTTCATCCTTTATGAAACATAATAAAAAGTATTTATTACATTTTTACTTTAAAGCTTTTATACATTCTAGCATTATTTACAGCTAAACATGCAGGCAAAAGATGTGAGTGTTTTAAAAATGATTACTGTTAATGTTTCCGCTTGTCAGAAGTGCTTAAATTCTCTTGCACTTTGTCTCAAAACTTCGTACTGTTGCCTTTTAAGAACAACACGTTTCAAAGATCTTGCAAGTCAGATTTGCAAACACTGCTGACAGTTCGTGATGAATGATATTGCAAAATCGGCAAGATGTTTGTCATTTCGCACAGCCGAAATATTAAGGAACAGATTAAGAAATGCGAAACGCCCCATGGAAAACAAC